TTCGCCTTGCGTTCCAGAGGCCAAACGCACTTGAATGTATGTGGACTTTGTGGTGTGAAGCGGCCCTAAATGCAGGATAGTATCCTGTTTGCTTTGCTGCTTGGCATTGCATGCTATTGCTTAATCTGTGATCTATGAGGACCCCCATGTATTTCTCCATGTCTGCCTTCCCCAATGGAGCACTGCCATGCTTGCACGTTCTTTGCAGCCATGTGCATAACCTTGCATTTTTCAATATTAAATCGCATTTGCTATCTTGCAGTCCAGGCCTCGATTTTATCTAGGTCTTGTTGAAATGAATTTATCAGGGTTATTCACAAAAGGGTGAAGAGTCTGGAGAAGTGAACAATCTAGGACAACATAGCTGAACTGGAAAGTGAGCTGAATTGGAGAATTTTTCCAAATCAGCTATTTTGTCCTAGATTGTTCACTTCACTCAATTCTTCACCCTTTTGTGAATAACCCTGTATGTCTTCTTGAGAATTTATTGCCCTACACAGTTTAGTATCGCCCACAAACACCCAGACTGAACAAATCTGTCTCAAGACCAAACCCTGGGGCACCACACTTGCCTCAGATGTGAACAAACAGGGATCAGTACTGGGAGCCTGCTGCTTCATCTCCGTCTTTTGTTTCTTTAGCTCTCAGTTGCAAAAGATGTCTTATGCTTCTAAACCTTTGGACCTTCTAGACATCCTTGGTAATTAAAAGTCAGCTTTAGCATGCAGGTCTGCTCCCACTTTTTCTGTATCTGGTGGAGGGACGCCTGATGGAATTTACAGAGATATAGGAAACTTAAGTTTCAGAATATATTTTTCTTCCTCCTTGGCTCTTTGCGTTCCAGCAGCACCGGGTGGATCTTTTTTTGCGCAGTTCAAGTTGGATCCGAGTCTTATTATTCCTGTTCCTTTGGCAGAGCGCTAATGTTTACTCAAGCCTGACAGTTACCTGCTTATTAGCGTTTCCTTCATTTTGTGGTAGGCGACCTTCTTTATCAATATGTGGCTCTTCTCTTCGAGTTGGCTACGGCTTCAAGGGTTTTTACAAAAGTTCTTGCTCCAATTCTGGGATTTTGATGTTGCAAGGACCTTCCAATGATCGGATACTTAAACAACCTTTTACTTTTTTAAACAGTCTTTTCCTACTTTGGAGCTCAATGTCTAGATGGTGCTGCAGCCATTAGAGGACTTTGGGCAGACTCTGAATATCGAGAAGTCATTCCTACTTCCATCACATTGGAGTATTTGGGTCTTCTGTTGGATACCCTTAAAGCAAAAGTTTTCCATCCTCAGAACAAAATATTGACGTTGCGGGGTCAAGTTTGGTCTATTCAATCCTGTCACGGTTCCTCTCTGAGAACCTGCATGAGAATCCTGGACTTGATAGTATGAACCTTCGGTACCTTTTACTCCCTACCATTCCAGGATCTTATAAAGGAACATTCTTACAGCATGGGACAAGTCTCCTCTATTGTTGGAGATGTTCAGATTCAGTTCCCCTGCCAGGATGTTTCTGTTGTGGTGGGTGACATCCCGTGTTAAAAATTGGAAAACATTTTCTTATAACTTCTGTTGGTGGCAACAGAAGTACATTTGATCTTGGATTGGATTGAACTTCAGGTTCCAGTTTACAGCAGTGCACATTCCAGGAGTAGAAAACTGGCAGGTGGACATTTTCAGCAAACAACATCTGGATCCAGGCAAATGATCTCTCCATCCAGAGGTGTTTCAACAACTTTGTCACCACTAGGGAATACAGGATGTGGTTATCTGGCTTCTCATCACAACAAGGAAGTGGATAGATTTGTGTCCAGGGCGAAGGATTCCAGGGTAGATGCCTTAGTAGCTCTGTGGGAGCAGTACCCACAAATGTATGTCTTTCCGCCACTGATGTTACCTCACCTGGTTTGCAGGATAGAACACAAAGGAATTCTAGTCATTCTTTTCCCTCCAGATTGACCTTGCAGGGTCTAGTATGCCGATTCATCTGTTGGAAGTCAATCCCTGGCTTCTTCCAGATTAGCTAGATTGGTTATCTCAGGGCCCAATCTTCCACCCTGCTTCTCAGTTGCTGGCTTTAATGGCCTGGCTGTTGAAACCCAAGTGTTGAAAGACAAAGGAATTTCAGAATTTATTATTCTGACTATGCTTAAGGCTCATAGATCTTCTACTTGTAAGATTTATCACCATACGTGGAAGGTTTATTTTCATTGGTGTGAGTCCTTGGGGCTTTCCCCACCTGCTTTTTCTCTATTGCATATTTTGTCTTTTCTTCAACAAGGGGTAGATCAACGTTTAGTTCTAAGTACCAAAGATGGTCAGATATCTGTGTTGTCAGTCCTTTTCAACTTTCTCTTGAACCTCCCTTCATCTCAGAATTCTTCAGAGCTGTCTCCCTCAATGGATGATTGAGAAAATGGGATTTTGTTCAGACTGTAAAAATTATTTTCTCGTAGTCCAGAAACAGGAAAGAGGGGAACCTTATCCCACAACTCATAAGCTTGAATGACAACCTGACAAATCCACTTAGAAAGTGCCCATATCTCCTGGACACAGCATAACCCTACGTTTCAGAATTCTTCAGAGCTGTGTCCCTCAATGGACTCAGAGAAAAGGATTTTACAGTAAGAACTAAATCCTATTTCTGATTAGTAGTAGTATTTTAATTATATTATGAAACTTAAAAAAAAAAAGATGCATGGCAGTTCAAACCAGACACGACATTAGAAGGTACAGCTGAAGCACCTAGCTGCCAGACTGTAGAGGGGGTACATGTTGCCTGAAAGGACTCCATTAATAATACTGCATTTCATAATTGCAGGTGGTAATTCAGCATGCTGAAGCTTCTGGTAATGGAATGTGACCACCTAAGCAACACAGGAAAACTGGCACATTGCATTATACAAGCCTCAGGTCATGTACAAATTAAGTACATGAGAATGTACTTTAAAAATGTCAAGGAACATTTTGCCCAACATAGTCCAATGTCAGGAAATAACGAGTGCAACATTTGTAGGACCAAAGAAACATAAAAAGCATATTATGTAAAAACATGAATATATATTCCCAAGTCTTATTCAGTTGTGCAGATTTTAAACATGATCTGTGCCGTAGTAAGTAATATTTTATTTATCCGGTGTGCCTATTGTTGATGAAAGTCTGATTGTGATTACCACACTTTGTACATTATCTATACATTAGTTTATTGAATAAACTCACTGCAATTAATATGGCGAGACTGCCTGTGGAAACAAAATGCAACATAGTTAACAGTTGAGGGGCAAACCCCTTAGACCCGGCAGTGGTGAGCTGTGAAACACACCGGCCAATTTCTGGACTGAGTGTGGTGGTCTAAATGGGCCCCTAAAGTAAACTTGCCATGAGGAAAATGCAAGAGCTGCCAGTCCAATGCTGATGTCCTTCTGAAAATGCTGGATGTTAAGCCGATCCCCAAAACAAGTATGACAGCCTCTATATCTCTCACCTTTGTAGTCATTAACACTAACTGTTTCTTTCAGGTTGGCTTGGAAATCCCAAGTTCCTCAACTCCTGGAAGCTCACGTTCAGGTTCTTCACGAAGTTCCATTGTATCTGTCCGGTAAGGAACCCAAAGCTTTTTCTAAGTAAGATGGGCCAAGCTGATTATCAAAAACAAAACTGTAAATGGCCTGGATTATTTTAAAAGGTACAATAGTACTAATGTTTACCTCTTAATGTACTGCACCATCTTGAGCTACCAACTTAAGTAGGCTATGCAGTTGGAAAGTACATGTTCAGTGCCTTGGTGTCAACGTTCCAGATAGTTATTAGTGTGTCCGTTTAGAAGGTGCACATATTAGCAACTTGACAGCTACCACAAAGTAGAATAAAGCAAACACTTTGCAGGGCACGGATGTTGATATAAAACTAATTGTATGTTTAGACATTGCTCAAAATATGCACTGTATGGCAATATGCATTTGATGCTGCTTTGTCCCATGGTTAACATTGAAACCTGGTCTGTGCTAAAAACACCACAGAGAACCATTATCTGTCTGATGGATAAGAGCTGCAGTTAGAAACCTGCAAAAGAAGGCACAGACCCTGCTTACCATGAGTGTCAAGATCCATTGTATGCATTTAGCTTAGAAGTAATCACAATACAGTGATATAGTAAATGGAACCTCAATCACTTAGTGGGCTGTAAAGGTGCACATATCCAGTTGTTAGTGGTCAGAACTTCCTTGCTGATACCTGGCTTATGTATGGTCCACCACTGACTTTTCAATGCACAAGACCACAGGTACCAGAATGTTTACCTTGCCTTATATGGGAATGAAGTATCTGCACTTACATTTTTACACTGTAAAGACAATGTCTTCAAATATAAATACACAGCTGAATATACAGTTTTGGTATACAAGCCTAATTGCCTGGAGGTTTTCTAGTGTGCTACTTATGTTGTGTACATCATCTAACATAGTGTAAGTAATCAATTGCTTTGGTAAAGTTAATTTATACTATTGGTTGTGTCTCATATCTTTATTTGTAGTTCAAGTTCTTCTAGATCTTCAACCAGCTCAGGACCCTCCTCTCGTATTAAAGTGGTTGAGCTTGGAATACCTATGGTTTCTCCACCTTCAAGTGCAGCATCATCTCGCAGCTCCAAGTCATCCAGCAGAGGCAGTACTCACAGAAGTCAGAAATAGTAATGAAACAATGCAAAAATGTGCAATTGCAAATGGTAGCAGGGTTCAATAAATATTCTATATCTTTTTCCAGTTAGCTTGATTTTTAGCTTATAATGGTAATTGTATTACATTTACAGTATAACTGACTTTACCTGGGCGAAGTTTAGGGAATGGTAAGCAAGCTCTTCTAGGTAACATTAAGGTTGTGAGTGTGTAACCATGAATGTCCACCACTCCTTCCTGCCACCTTTCTATTGGCTAGCAATGTGATGGGTGGGCTCACTAGCCAACGGAAAGGAGTACATGGTAACCATGCCAGTTCTACTATAAACTTCCTTTATAGAGCACCCTTTGTCCAAACTACTGGAATATACTACAACTAAAACAATCTGATTGTGCCTAAAGATGCCCTTTACCTAGAAGTTAAGTCATCTTACCATACCTAAATAAGGTTGCGTTAAAAGCCACAGCGGATTCAGACATTTGAAACAGCCATTCTGTGGATGCTATGAGCACTTTACATACAATCAGCAAGCAAATGAGAAGATCTCCTCCTACAGCAGATTGTAGCAGCAAGTGACCACAGGCTGACCAAACACCAGGTCCACTTTTTTTTTTGTTTTACATGCGCTGTGGTGCTATATCTGTTGTTATTCACATATTTATACACTTGGTAAATTTCAAAATATGAATACTTACCACCATCCTTTTTAAACTACTGTTTAATGAATGGATGCTTTTTTTTTAACCATATGAAGGCAGCTTTAATCCTTATTTGTAAACTTCCTGAAAATTCCTTTCCTATATTTAAATTGGATCAGAATTCTTTATTTGCCCTTAATTCTGTCTCAAAAATTGTTTTCTACGCCCACTTTAATTGCAGTCACATGCCCTGTACAGTACCAATGGACCTTGTTTGTCTTAATGAGGAGTGATTTTCCTCATTATATGGAAATAGCTACAAAATACTATCAGACCCATCACTGGCTTCTTTGGAATGCCGACCATCTGTATTTAGCAGTTATTTGACAGCTGCAACAAGGGGAAACACAAACAGTTTTATTTGGCTAAAACTGGTACACCTCCAAAACAAACATTTTCACCTGCACAACTACAGGTTATTTAACTACAACAAGATATAATTCTAGATTAAAATGCATGGTTGTATGCCCATTGCCAAGCTGTCAATATACATATGCATACACGCATATAAATTCGCACAGTAAAATCCATCCTTAAAAATGGTGGTTCAAGAGGAGAGCATTAGGAAAATGTGACAACGCTCACTGGTATTTAGAGAAAAAAAGAAAAGTGGATCCTGATGATCTTGACTCACTACACTGTAGGTAAGTAGTACCCTCCAGGTCTATGGTTACAACAGCACACTAGAAAAATAAAAATATAGGAGTCAATGCTTGGCGTAATCCACACCACTGTTTAGGTTTTGTAAAATACACTAAACTGAGAAAATTACAAAAAAAGACCAAGAAGTTGAGCGATAAGTGGATTTGCCTATTTGGTCTCGAACAACAAAATGTATTTTCATATTTCAGAATAAAGAGTCATTCTAAAAAGCAAGTATTTTTATTTACATTTTTGTTTAACACCTTTTTCCTTCTCAAATTCAGCAATCTGACTGAGAATATTCACTAGATTACCAGGCAAAGGCTTGTTAGCAGCTGACTTATCAGCTTGGTCATTCCCATCTGTCCCTTCCTGATGAGATCTACTTCCACTGATTTTGGCAGTTTCTTGAGAAAATCGACTGGTATTCCAACTAGACCTTCTCTCTGTGATGTCAGGCTCTGACCGATACTTACTCTGAAAAGACTCTGACTTGCTTCTGTAAGGCTTTTGTGTTTCTTCCCGTCGATTAGAGGAATACATTTTCTCTTTGCTTTCAGGTCTTTTGAGGCTTGAATCCAAAGAATCTCTCTTTTCAGACTTGTACTTACTAGCTAAAGCTGTGCTGTAGGATATGCCACTGCTGGCCTGAGTCTTTACACTGCTGTAAGAATCTCTTGAATCTTCAGACCTACCTCCCCCAGGATCCATGATTTCCAAGGAAGAGGAAGACAAAGAACGATACCTTGTTTTGCCTTTTACGTATCTATCTTGATGACCACGTCTATCCCTTTCGTCATTACTTCTACGACTGTCGAGTTTGAGAAATGAGGCAGAGGTGTCTGCAGGAGGGGTACATGCTTCCTCTTGGTTATGAAGTGGCACATTTGAAGAATGCTTTGAGTGGCTGGATGTTGTTGAATGCTTTCTACGTCTCTTTCTCTTTTTGCGTTTTTTATGGCTGTCAGAAGAAGTCTCCGAAGAAGAAGAGTCTGAAGAAGAACTACTTGAAGACAAAGATGAAGATCTTCTTTTGCGTTTCTTCTTTCTATCACCATCAAAGCAATTAATTAAATTTGGCTTAGTAACCAATAGTTCTAGTATTACTCAAAGCATTTTGGTCTTCTAAAACATGCTCATCACCACAGATGGTTACTAAAAATCAACTTAAAAGATCCCTGGTTAAAAGACTTACAGAATACCTCATGGGGGGTTAAGGCATACACACAGACAGTCTGATTTCATTGTGTGGGAATGTAAAGTGTAGTGGGGTACTGGAAGTTTCTTACAAAGAAGGAGCAAGGAGGTGGGACACTCAAACATTTGAAGTAACACATTTACAGCTGTACATGTCTGCGATTCTCTAGGCCCAACCATATTATTTAAAGCAGTGGTTCTCAACCTGTGTAACCTCAGGGCCCACATTTGTCCTTTGTCATTGAGTAGTGACCCAAATTGCACTACAATGGAACATATGGCATTGTGGTACAGCGCGTTTAGATGTGGGCAATTGAACTGTGGGTGGGAGGTGCGTTTGGGGTGCCATTCAAATGAACCTCCCACACCAGAACGCATGGTAGGTGCAATTGTGTGGTACAGTGCATTAATCACACAAGACTGTGCGATTAACACACTGCCATAGTGTGAACAGGCGCGCACACACTTTTTTTTTTTTTTTTAAGATCCACCCAGCACAGAACTGGAGTGGATCCTCAGCCTGGGGTCCAGTGTGGACTGCTGGCTGTGATGGAACTCCATCAATATGTGCATTGGTTGTAAAACCCCCCTGTGCGCCCTGTAGAGGTTCCGGGAGCCAGAATGTGACAGTACTCCGGTCCAGTCACCTCTGCAGGGTACGCAAAGGAGCTATAAGCAATGCACGTATGGATGGAGCTCCCTCGAGGCCATAGCTCCATCCCACCCTACCTCAAGCTGACACTCGGCGCAGGGCAGCATATTTTGAATGGCTGCTTGGCTTGAGAACTGACCTAGCTGCACTAGGGGGGAGGATGAGGAGCCTCTCACCTAGAATAGTGGAAGGCATGCAGTGACCCTCTGAACAGGGGGTCGTGACCCACTTTTGGGTCATGGCCCACCAGTTGAGAACCAAAGATTTAAAAAGGACAACCTCACCTTTAGAGAATGTTTAGTTCAGCTCATTACAAGAGAACTATGGGGTAAGGAAGGGTTTTTCCCCATAGTTCTCCAAAGGGCCACGAAGACAAACTAGCGTCCTCCCGTGACCCAAAGATGTGTATATCGCGAGCTATAACTCGAGTATACTGAGACCGCCGCAGCCGTGATGGATCACGACATTACTGTCGAGATCTACCCAGCTGCGTGAATGACCGATGGCTCTGCCTATCTAGAGGCAGAGCCAGCTGTACCCGCAATGTCCCCTGTCCGCTCCTCCAGTCAGCACTGGAGGATCGGGGAGGGAATCCCTGTGGGGATCAGTGACTGACAGTCCCGGCACTCTGCAGGGAGACATCGAGAAGTGAGCGAGTGACGGTATGTGTTCGCTCACTTCCTGATCTATTGAGCCGGCATGTGACAGTTTGAACTATGAAGAGGAGTGATTTACACTCACCTCATAGTTCTCCATTAAAAAAAAAAGTATGAAAATTAAAAAACAAACCTGTATTTAAAAAATAAAAAAAAATTATATCATGCAGAAAAATCTAATAGGTCAGTTTAGAAGAAATATAGAGGGAATGGATACCAAAGAAACACCCACTTGGCTGCTACATTAGAATGAATGACTAAAAGAAGACACACCATTAAAATGTGCTGCAGACAAACCTTTGCTTGGGCCCTTTATACCAAATTCAAATGTCTGTACCTTTTCTCTTCTTTTAGGAGTTTACGCAGTTTTTCTGCACTGGTTTCTATTTTCTTTTCTTTGGTTTTCTCTTCCTTCTCATCAGATTTCTCTCTTTTATCCAAAGAGTTCTTTTTTAAACCCAATCATCAAAAAGATATCATTATTGACATTAATATTTGACAGACAATATTTACCAGTACCCACAATTCACAAAACAAAAAAGGCAGCGTGTCATTTAGAAAGATGCAAAATGAACACAAAAACAAAAATATAAGATGGGAAATTATAGAGCATAATTACATGAACGTGGGAGGGAACAATACATCATTTCCCAGTTAAGAATGAAGCAATCAATTTAGCACCCATTGGCACACAAGCATGAAAGTGCACAAATGCATCCATGATCAGGGGGCAGAGAAGGTAGTGCCAGCAAACCCATGACATCCAAAAAGGTACAAAAAGAGTTATATGCCGGCAACAGAAAATTGAAAATAGTGAGAAATATGTTTTATACAAACCAGTTTACATGACCGAGGTCCAATACAGGTGGTAGTTTTGGAACCACAATCCAGTTTCAATAGAGTAGAATAATGGATATTCACAGCCACAGCACCAATTGTTCAGAGCAGAGGGAGACACATACATAAAAAAACACATCATCAGTATTACAGGATAAAACATTCTTAAATTAAAAGAAATCACGTTTTTAAAAATAAAATAATGGCGGTTTACTGGAAGTAAATTTACATTAAAACATCAACCTGCCTATGTCTGTCTGGCTTTGTCTCCACTAACTGCTGTTTACCCTAGGTCTAAATCCTCCCCTGAGAATGCGGGCTGTACAAGTCATGCATTTCTGCAGCAGATACAGCCAGGTGTTTACAATCAGCTACAAACAGGAAGCCTGTTCAAATCAATGCACTTGTCTGCATGGAATCATACATGGAGCAACTACCTGTGATTAGGGACAGATGAGCTGGCTTGCTTTAGGGCCGGTTCACACAACAAAGTGTGTTCCAGAGCATTAGGCCTCTGGAACGCAACCCAGCCGGCTCCTTGCGGGAGGGAGCGTGGCGATGCATTGAAGTCAATAGCACCGCAGCCACCCCCTCCCCCCCGCAGTGCGATCGTCTGCACCCGAACATGTGGCACATTAGTGCCTGCGTTCTGGTCCAGTGCGATCTAAAAAAATAGTGCATGCAGTATTTTTGCAGATCGCACTGGATCAGAACGCAGGCACTAATGTGCCACGTGTTCAGGTGTCAGCAATCGCACTGCAGACGAGGGGGCGTGGCTGTGGTGCCATTGACTTCAATGCACCGCCACACCCCCTCCCACCCCTGAATGCAGGGAGCTGGCCGGGTTGCGTTCCAGGGGCTGAATGCTCTGGAACGCACTCTTTATGGTGTGAACCGGCCCTTAGGATCCAGTGCATTGTTTTAATACTTTTTTTTTTTTTACCTATGGGCCACCTCCCAATATCTCAGTATTAGAATGGGTCAGTATCGGTTGATCTATACTAGCAGCTCCCCTATAATGTTTTGATCTTTTCTATTACACAGAGGAGCTCCTCTAGACACAAACAGTCCGTGTACAGGGACGTTCACCTGTCCCTAACGGCATGCAATCGTTCTTTGAACCATTACATGCAAACAACCACGGACAGTGTCAGCCTGTCATTGATTTGTACAGGCTTGCTGTCCACAGCTGATCATAAACACCTGGCCGTACCCACCTCAGAAATACACTGCTCTGGGGCAGTGCTCGTCCCTCTGTGCCCAAGTAAATGTGCCCTAATGGGTAAAACTTGAAATCATTTTCTAAACTCTTGGACAACAGAGGCCATGTAACAGCAGTACAAACATTGTCCTATATGTTTTGCCTGAAGTGGAAGAACAGAAAACAAAGGATCACCTGTATACATTGTCGCACTTTGTTCAACGCCTCCTCAGCTTCAGTAAAGGTGTTGTCTATAGTTAAAGCTTTACTATAGTAACTCTCGGCATTCAGCAGTTTTTCTTCTTCTTCAAGCCTAGAGTTAAGATAAATCAAACTTTAACATTTACGCATATTAACTGAGAAATACAGAGAGACAAATCTTTTTAGTTTAATACTTGGCATGCACAGTATTTTGAGAACAATGCACTCTAAACAGGTAAGAAATGGATAGTTTTATTTTAAATAACTCATCCGTCACCTACATACTCTCTAGGAAGTGTGCATATAATGGTATTTGGGAAGGGAGACAGTATATAGGACTTCAACTCAAGTATCTTCTTTTTTTTGACTGTCCAGTTGTAAAGGACTAATGTTGGTAAGACCAATCTAGAACTGTGGTGCTCAACTCCATTTCTCAAGTACCACAAACAGTCCAGGATTTTGGAATAAAAATAAATTTTATGTGGCGAACCACATTTTAAATACTACTGGGTGTTAAAGAGAAATCTGCACAATGTTTAGGGATCTTAGCCTGGATTGGCACACTGTACAGAATAGTTTGCAGGTAGGTGGGTAGTAAAGGCTCTAGCATTTGAAAGTCAGGGCTGGGGCTTAATCTTGACTCAGGCAGAAGTTGAGGCCCCTATTATAGCCTGGGCATAGCATTTAAAGGGTGTGACAGGAATAGATTTGAAGACTAACACAGGTGCTTCTTTGCATCTCAATATATATGCAGTTGTCATTATCTACAGGCCAGTTCAAATTCAACATAAAAAATGCAAAGTTGCTCAAAATCAGTAGTCTGCTTTCATTCCCTTACCTACACTAATAATGGGCAATACCCTTAACTTTTTCTTCCTCCAGTTCTAGTATATAGGGCCCATGGATATAAAATGAAATAATGATCCCGTATTTAGCTGGTATTAAACCATTATAGATTCCTTTTTTTCCCCTCATAGCCAAGTATCAGAAAGGGATAGATTGAAATACAATTAAGATGTAAAACATGTGCTTACTCTCCCCCTCTTTCCACAAGGGTTTGACAAAGGTACTTTTTTGCATTCTTATGTGTTGGACAATTTTCTAGAGCAACTTCAAAATCATCAATTGCTTTATTTAGACTTCCTTTGGTAGCATATCTACAAAACAAAAGAATATTTCAGAAACATTTATTCAGCTCCAGAAACTATTATAAACTTGATATAGAATAAATTAACGAGTGCTTTTTTTTAAATGTGAACCTTTATGTTGCTGCTTTAGATGTGTAAATTACCTTACCAGCCACACACCTACTTGCTGTATTGTTCAAATTGAAGAACTTGGCCCGGCAGACTTCTATGAAATAATTACTCCAATTCAATAAACGTATTGGGTCAAAAACTGGGCAGCAAGGCGAGTGCAGGGGTGAAAGTGGAGTTATTGAAGCTCTTGATCTTGTGACAGGCATACCACAGGTAAGTATATTATGTATATTGCAGTGTTACATGTGGCTCCCACAGCATCTTTTCATTAACACCTCTTTACAGTTCAAGTTCCATTTCGGGACGTTTTACAATTCAGGTCATCAGTGAACTGCATGTTAAACCATTTACACACAAGACAATATGGTTACACACTATATTAGGGTTAGACTGAATGGTACACAAAATATCTTACAATCAGACTGTAGGAAAACTGGATGAAAGAGGGAAAAGATAGTTGTGTTCAGGAGTATGGTCAATAAGTGTGTTTTAGATTTTACGAGGTTTGGCCTTTTCTCATATCACACTACAAAGCTCAATGGCTCTAACGCATGCACTCCACATGTGTGCTCTCAATATGTGGTTAATATGTGAAGGTAGGAGAGAACCAATACTCACAGTGCACCCCGAGCTACTAACGCTTCAACATTTTTAGCATCAATCTCCAATGCTTTGTTATATTCGTTCATAGCATCCACATGCCGACCCAACTTAAAGTAGTCAACACCTTGTTTTACACTATGGAAACAAAAGAACAAAACATCAATCAAAATATCCTCCTGCCTTTAGAAGGCTGTAAACCAAATGCAAAAATATTCTTTACCACTTTAAGGCCCAAGATGATGACTGTTTTTTCCTTAGAGATGGAGCATAATCTTGATCACAGAAATTTGTCCTGTGAATAGAAAATAAAACATGCATTAATCTGAAATGATTTCACAAAGAAACTAGAGCCACTGTTGGCATAGTGGTTAGAACACACCTTGCCTCCATTTTCTGACACTGCATGGCAATACTTTGTACGACATTAAGTGAAGTGGGGGTGAAAATTAATCTGAGGACCTGCAAAGCTTTTCCAATGTAGTACGGAGAGTTGAAATGTCCTCATTTGGCAAGTCTGTGTCCTACGTCAGCCTACAGAACAAATTCAGGATGCTTTCCCAGGGTTCATTTGCATTCCATACAATCATATTCTTGTGTTTAAACAATGAAGCAGTTTTGAACCCAGTTTATCAGTAACTTGAGCTAAACTAACCCTGTAATTTGCCAATAAAGTTAAAGCAACAGGATTGTTTAAATGCCCCCCCCCCTCCTTCTGCTCTACTTACCTGGCGGAGTCCAGAGAAACTTTGCAAGCTCTGAGTCACTTGGTCAGAAATTACAGGGCAAAGGTGTCTCTACCCACCACTGTAACAGCATCGTGGCAGGAAGGGGAGACAAGAAGAAAGTTTGTTGCACTCCTTACCGGACAGCCCCATATATGGGGAAAGGGGGCTCGGAATGACCGCGGATGGCGCCGCCAGTTGCAAAGAAATGTCACCAGCACACCAGACTCTTTCAAGGATAGTCAATCGTGGATTTATTCAGAACTTATGTTAAATACACAAGCGCTTTCGGGACCACACAGGATCCCTTCATCAGGCATAGCAGTGATAAGGTTACAAAAGACAGTGTGGGTATATATAGGCAAACATAAGTGCAAGAAAAAACAAAAACACTTTGCCGTTTGGTCTTTTTTCTGACCTTTTGTATTGTTCCAGTATTCCCCTATTTTTATGGTTCAAGTGTCTCTATATCATGCAATCTTTATGAATAAATCCACGAATGGAACTGGAGACAGTCACATGCTGCCCATACCTACAGGTAATGGGGATTTCTCTTTGTACTAGTGACAGGAGAGCAAACAGAAGATACGTATATGCAAGGAATGCGCATTTAAGTCCTGAATGGGCAAAGCACAGGTTCTTACATCATGCTCCCCCCCCATTATACTATATCATGCCTTTATCATGTTTTGTTGTACAACAAGAGCCTTCTATGCCTAGATACGTTTTAACATTCTCAGTATTAAAATAGAAAAGCTCTGCCAGCTAATGAGGAACTCACAAAGTGTATTACTAAATATTTTCGACTGCAACACAGTTACTTAAAAAAAAAAAAAGCTATCTTTTTACACAACCTGTAGTGTTGTGAGAAAATTTAGCACACTTCATAACTATAGGTTTATATCACTTTATCTTTTGCTGACCTGTTACATACATAACAAAGAATTACCTCTGAAGGCCTCGTATTAAGGATGGGGGGTTAGACTCGACAATCCCAAGAGTATTTAGAAGAAATTCAACAGTGGATGGATTTGTGAATGCCATGGATTGCCGTAAGACCTTTTCATAAGTGTCGCTGTTGTGTGACTTTGCAGCACTTTGCCTTTAGAGCAAACAAACAAAGTAATAAATATACTTTCCATTGTGATAGAAATATATGAACAAAAAACAAATTCAGAGACATCATTTATAAAATAAGACAGGACGGTGCATTATAATGAATTCGCATTTGCCTACCAATTCCCATGAACCTTGTCTAGGAAACCATATCAGAAGAAGTTTCATCTCTGTCATCTCTTCTAGTCCTACCTGATCTTTATTACATATTTACAATCACCTGAGCTCATTTTCAATTTAAAGGAGAACTATGAAGCGAGTGCTTTTCACTCACCTCATAGTTCTAGCCGACCTGTGACAATGAGATCGTCAGTCTGTGCAGGCAGATCGGAGCGGGGAGGGTACAGCTGGCTCTGCATCTAGATAGGCAGAGCCAGCTGTCAGTCGCGCAGCTGGGCGGATCCCGGAACAATTGTCGGGATCCGCTTCAGCTGCGGCGTCTCAGTATACGCGAGCAGCAGCCGATTCTAGCATGGCCGATTACAAATTATGACCCAGAACTATTTTCACACGGCTATTAAATATACATATCTATGGAAGTGGAAATTATTACTTATGATGCCAAAGTGAAATATATATATACACACACAATATATAGACAAGCAAAGCTTTCTGGTACTGCAATAAGTTTATTTTCATTTAAAAAAACAAAAATAGTGAAAGTTTTAAAAAAGGGAAGAAGGTGGAAAAAGGGGAGTAGATAAGAGTATCATAAAAGCTCATTAAAAAAAAAACCCCTTCATTATGGTCTATAGAATAAAAAGCTGCACTTGCACAGCAATACCTAGTGGCTCACTACAGAACTAAAGCACTGCCTGTCATAGGTGGTAGAGCACAGGTTACAGTCTTTTGTGTCACTGGCCTTAGATACTACTGCTTGTTCACAAAACTGAGGGATGACATTTGGGGGCGGGGTTATACAGAGGGCTGGCTTAACGTTTTTTTTTTTGTTTGCCAGTGTCCCAATCATCAACAGTTTAAGAATTCCTACAACTCCTGTGTCCCCCAATGGCCTTCAAGAAAAAGATTTTATTGTAAGCACAAAACTCTTATTTATTAAATACCCCACTGTAAAGCAACATGTTACAGCAGTTCTATATAAAAAAGACTATCATTATAAATATACTGTGGTTATAGTGCCAGTGTATTGGATTTTTGAATGCTTCAAAGAGCATGCCCTTGTTTTTCTGGGAGACCTATGACATCAGAATGGTCGCACGTGGGAGATCACAGGTACTAATTATCTGGAATAGAAACCATCACAGTAGCACATAAAAAGGCATACCATGGGTCTTTTCTGTGAATACCTTATGTACCATAGGTTTCTACCAATAGCAAGATACATTACAACAGAATACTTACAACAGAGAAGGTGGAGAAAATAGTTGCTCTTTATATGCCTACAGAGCTGTATGGTGCAAATTAAGCTGCATTATTAACACCATATCTGCAAGACCATTGTACTTTAAATGTTGATTAAAAAAAACTTGTGAACATGTTTATCAAACGAAAAAGGCTGAAGTTAAAAAAGGAGAACTATGAGGTGAGTGTTTTCCACTCACCTCATAGTTCTAGCCGACCACGTTCTCCTTTCAGTGTAATGCCAGACAGTTTAAAGTGACACTAAACTCAAAAGTTAACTTAAAGCTTAAAAATGCATTCAAGTACCTTAACTATTACACAAATAAGATACATTTTTGTGTATAACTCGGCTGTAGACCCCCAAATCATCTCTGAATTGGTGCCGACACTGTCCTTCCTTCTGGAGGGTGGCTACATTTGTTCCCCATGGTCCCTGTGTGTGTTGTAAAGTAGCCACCGATCTGAGCTTGCGCCCATGTTGGACTACAATCTATTGAGATTGTAGTCCATCACAGGAGTGAGCTTAGAGTGGTGGCTACATTACAACAGACACAGGGACCATGGGGAACAAATGTAGCCACCCTCCAGAAGGAAGGACAGTGTCGGCACCAATTCAGAGATGATTTGGGGGTCTACAGCCGAGTTATACACAAAAATGTATCTTATTTGTGTAATAGTTAAGGTATTGGGATGTATTTCTGAAATTTAACGACTGAGTTTGGTGTCTATTTTTTGCAAATCGAAGTTTGCATATTATTTGCTCTGCATTGCAAGAGGGAGACTAATGTTAACATAACTAACCTTGACTGTACAGTGCTGGCAGATAATTTATGAACTCAATTTAAACACCATCTGTCCTGACTTAGGGTTACAGAAAATCACTCACCTCATAGTTCTAGCCGACCTATGACAATGAAACGGTCACACGTCGGCTCAATAGATCGGGAGGTGAGCGAACGCATAGCGTCGCTCCCTCACTTCTCGATCTATCCCTGCAGAGAGCCGTGACTGTCACTCACGGCTCCCTGCAGGGATTCCTTGCCTCCCCTGTCCCATCCTCCAGCGCTTACTGGCGGAACGGATGGGGGGGGGGGGGGTTTACAGCTGGCTCTGCCTCTAGATAGGCAGAGCCAGCTGTCAATCCCACAGCTGGGTGGATCTCAACAGTAATGTTGGGATCCGTCCGGGCTGCGGCGTCTCAGTATACCGTGAGCTGTAGCCATCCTGATTTGAGCTGTAGCTCGCGGTATACTGAGCTTAGGGTGACGGGAGGACACTAGTTTGTGTTCTCCGGTTACCCTTAGGAGAACTATGGGGAAAAGCACTGACCCCATAGTTCTCCTTTAAAGATATAGAAGCATTGTATGTTAATGAGAGGAAGCTCAGCGTGTGCCTAGTCTTTCTATGGGGACAGACAGGAGGTTCCTGTCACAAAGAAAATGAGATGGACTTGCAAAGTCCTGCTGCACAGTCACATCTAATTATTACTTGAAATATTAACTCATGATATTCTTACTTGTAGTATTCAGGCATATCTTCAGAATTTATAACTCCCATCTTGACATCAGACAGGTGAGTAGGCAGTGAAGACTTATGCAAAGACAATGTGATCTTTTCATGATAACGGTCAATGTCCTTTACAGCAGCTAGGAGGCAAAATACAGCAATGGTAAGACCACTATGTAGCTATAAAAATGGTTCAATTTGTAGTAGGGATGCACCGATAACAATACTAGTATCAGTACCAATACCGAGTATTTGGGCGACTACTCACCCAAATGCTCCGATACTATTCCTGAATACAAAAACCTCCGGCATCAGGAAGCCGGGCGGCAAGTCATTACACGTCGCCCGGTTTCCTGATTGGCCGGGAAGCCGGCTCCATGCTTCCTTATCACTTGGTGAAAAGGGAGCTTGCAGCCTGCTTTCTGCCCAATCAGGATGGCGTGTAATGACTCGCTGCCCAGCCAGCTTCCTGATTGGTTGGGAAGCTGACCAATCAGGAAGCCGGGCGGTGAGTCATTACCTTCCAATTGGCTTCCTGATTGGCCAGAAAGCCGGCTCCAAGCTACCTCGTCATCTGGTGACAAGGGAGCATAGAGCCGGCTTCTTGGCTAATCAGGAAGCCGGGTGGCGAGATGTTACATGCCATCCGGCTTCCTGGCTAATCAGGCGGCAAGTCATTACACGCCACCCAGCTTCCTTAAGGGACTTCTGGTATCGGCGAATACTGAAATAATAATATCGGTACACGATACTGAAAAACTGGCATCTGTGCATCCCTATATTTTAGACCAACAGCAGGATAAATAAATGTGTATAATACTTGTTTACAGCCAAAAATGCACGTCACTTTGTAAACCGACAAGGTTGTGGAATGCTGAACTAAGTGACGTTACTGATTTCTACACTTATCTTAAAAATCAAGTATGTATTCATATGTTTCATACAGATCTAATAATGTGATAGCAAACAAAGATTGCTTAACTCGTAATCTTCAGCTCATTTGCTAATCATGGACCCTCTAATTTTAGGTCTACTGCATACAGTCAGAACACCAGTTGACAACTACATTCCGTTTATCTACCATAGGAATGTTTTAATGCACGCTAGTTCCTTCAGTCTACAGCATTTTTCTTTCACAGGGCTCTAAAGTGAGGAACACCATAGATGTGTCATTACAGTCTGTGACACGTCACATATTAAATTGGTACATTTTACAGAACTTGATCATTCTCTAGTTCCATGATATTTGCAGAAACATTACCTCTGATTAGGTCTCCAATTTGATAATAAGATAAGGGATCTCCATGGCTACTCTGAGAAGGCACATCTCTTACAGGGCACAATGCCTAGTAGAAACAAAATGCAAAAAGAGTTTAAATATGACCTAAAATAAAGGCAAATGTGTATCGACAGTGCTACTTGAATGCTTACACTTATTTCTAGTGTTTCTATATCTCTTAAAATGCCACTGCCCATAGAGAGGAGAGCCACAAAAAATCCAAAGTCACGAATGGAAGTTATCCTTCCAATTACAACATCCCCACGTTCAACATCCCGAAAAAACAGCTCCCTCTTCTGCCCACTGGGGACCTCCATGAACTGTTCCAAAGGCGGTATGACAGCATAGCAACCTATAATGAGAGGAAATCAAGTCACAAGCTTTAAACAGTTTGTAAAAAATAATTAAACCAGGTACCAAATAGACAATTTCTACTTCCTGACCAAATAGAGAATGATTGGGATCCTAGAGTTTCACATATTATAAAACCAGTTATCAGGTTTTTCGACTGTTCCCTGCTCACACGACACTGCCAGAGAGGTATCATGTTAGACTGACAATTTAAGTTAGCCATACAATGCTCAAATTTGAGCTGTGTGTGGCCTTGCCAGCAGCACCCGACTTTATTCAATCAACTTTTGTTGAAGGAGTCGGGTAGAAAATTGTTGCCTTAACAGCAGCCAGTCAGCTACAGTAACTGTTCAGGTATTCCGACACAAGCGGACGCCGGGTGTCAGAATGCAATAGCCCGGCCGGAGAAATTTGTTGATCCATGCTATTTAGTGTTAAAGGAGGAATCTGTTAGATTTCTTCCGTTCAACCCATTGTAGAGAATAAATTAGACCAGTGTGACATTAATCACACCTTATTCACTATACAAAGTGCCCCGTGCAAATATATATAGCTCATATTTACATATCAAAATGCATCACATCCCTTTCTTTTATATTTTACCCAAAATTGGGTATTATATTCCGTTTCTGTGCGCTAAATTTTATTTTAGTGTATGCATCCTACAAATACTGGTTTGATAAACATTTGCGCAAATACCGTGCGACAAAAAATTACAACTAGCATCTTTGTATTCTACAGGGCCTCTGCTTTCAAAAAATATATCATTGTTTTACAGGTTTTAGGCTGTTTTCTAGCCAAACATTCAGATTTTATCATTTGTGTGCAAATAGTAAACAGTAAGTGGTTAAACACAAAGTTAAAATCTATAGTGCAAATATTACTTAATCTTTAAAACCAATCCTTCAATCTCCAATGATGTCACCGTCCAATCTTTCCAGTGTAAATGTGCGTAAAGCACTCTCATACTGTATGTCCCGATTTTTAGTTCCATTATCCACCTTTGTACTCAAATGTGCTCCACCCTTCCAAAGGAATGCTCCTCACCTCTTTATTAGATCTTTCTAGCTATACATAAAAGGTCAGACACACCAGAGCATTATATGGAACACAGCAACTCCTCTTATTTAGCAATGTATCCTTATAATTCAGCTCACAAGAGATACAGACAAACCGTAGTGTGACCCATAGAATATTCAGTTTATTAAAATGATAAACTCACATGTAAAAGTCTACCTCTTTGTGTGCACAATCAGCATAAAAAGCCAAACCACCACTGTTCACAGTTATCCCATGGCGCAGTCCTGTCATCCTACACAGTGTAATGGTTTCACTAGCTCCCCACTCTACACGTTGCCTCATTAGACTTCCTCGGGGGTTCATCTGCATCTCTTTTGAACTGAATTATAAGGTGGATGGAGGATGCATTCCATTGTAGAAAATGCTAAACTCTGCTCATATCAGAGGGTCCAAGGTAAACAGATGCCCTGAGCCAAGTCATGGGTCCGCACAGGTTTAAAAGCAGAACAAAATGGATTAACCCTTGTAGTGGCTACCCCTGCAGTGCAAGGGTTAACAGCTCAATTTTATCTCAGGTTTTTCTTCTTTCTCTTAGCTCTGTAGGTTGAACTTGATACTCGTGTCTTTTTTCAACCTAAATGTGTAAATATATTCAACCGATTCTCAGAGCCAGATGGCTGTCACAGCTTATCTCCTACACTAAAGCGGTGGAATGTACCTCAGCGTTCTCACATCCTATACACTATGTATAGGACGTGATGACTCAGGGACCTTAGACGGCTGCAGTGGAGGGGAGCGAGGCTCCAGTGATCAGTTCGTCCGGCTCTTACACTAGATGAAAACGAGCAGTTAACACTTGCAGTACGGAGGCAGCCCCACTGCAAGGGTTAATAACATTTGTGCACCATACAAGCGATCCGCCGGCTTTAGAGCCGGCGGATCAC